GGTGGTGGTGATGGTGGAGGGGGCTGGTGGTGGTGGTGGGGGAGGGTGCTGGTGGTGGTGGTGGTGGGAGAGGGTGGTGGTGGAGGGGGCTGGTAGTGGGGGACAATAAAGGTGTCAGGGTCAACAGGTGTAGCAGGGTGACGCCCGGTAATATAAATTATCCTTCTTTGTGGACCTCATTGTGGTGGGGGGGGGAGGGGGGGCATGATGGGTGTTGCTGGTGTTGAGGAAGTGTGGCAACAGTGTACATTACAAGTGTCCAGGAAGTGTGGCAACAGTGTACATTACAAGTGTCCAGGAAGTGTGGCAACAGTGTACATTACAAGTGTCCAGGAAGTGTGGCAACAGTGTACATTACAAGTGTCCAGGAAGTGTGGCAACTGTGTACATTACAAGTGTCCAGGAAGTGTGGCAACAGTGTACATTACAAGTGTCCAGGAAGTGTGGCAACAGTGTACATTACAAGTGTCCAGGAAGTGTGGCAACTGTGTACATCACAAGTGTCCAGGAAGTGTGGCAACAGTGTACATTACAAGTGTCCAGGAAGTGTGGCAACAGTGTACATTACAAGTGTCCAGGAAGTGTGGCAACAGTGTACATTACAAGTGTCCAGGAAGTGTGGCAACAGTGTACATTACAAGTGTCCAGGAAGTGTGGCAACTGTGTACATTACAAGTGTCCAGGAAGTGTGGCAACTGTGTACATTACAAGTGTCCAGGAAGTGTGGCACCAGTGTACATTACAAGTGTCCAGGAAGTGTGGCAACAGTGTACATTACAAGTGTCCAGGAAGTGTAGCAACAGTGTACATTACAAGTGTCCAGGAAGTGTGGCAACAGTGTACATTACAAGTGTCCAGGAAGTGTGGCAACAGTGTACATTACAAGTGTCCAGGAAGTGTGGCAACTGTGTACATTACAAGTGTCCAGGAAGTGTGGCAACTGTGTACATTACAAGTGTCCAGGAAGTGTGGCAACAGTGTACATCACAAGTGTCCAGGAAGTGTGGCAACAGTGTACATTACAAGTGTCCAGGAAGTGTGGCAACTGTGTACATTACAAGTGTCCAGGAAGTGTGGCAACTGTGTACATTACAAGTGTCCAGGAAGTGTGGCAACAGTGTACATCACAAGTGTCCAGGAAGTGTGGCAACAGTGTACATCACAAGTGTCCAGGAAGTGTGGCAACAGTGTACATTACAAGTGTCCAGGAAGTGTGGCAACAGTGTACATTACAAGTGTCCAGGAAGTGTGGCAACAGTGTACATTACAAGTGTCCAGGAAGTGTGGCAACAGTGTACATTACAAGTGTCCAGGAAGTGTGGCAACAGTGTACATTACAAGTGTCCAGGAAGTGTGGCAACAGTGTACATTACAAGTGTCCAGGAAGTGTGGCAACTGTGTACATTACAAGTGTCCAGGAAGTGTGGCAACTGTGTACATCACAAGTGTCCAGGAAGTGTGGCAACAGTGTACATCACAAGTGTCCAGGAAGTGTGGCAACAGTGTACATTACAAGTGTCCAGGAAGTGTGGCAACAGTGTACATTACAAGTGTCCAGGAAGTGTGGCAACAGTGTACATTACAAGTGTCCAGGAAGTGTGGCAACAGTGTACATTACAAGTGTCCAGGAAGTGTGGCAACTGTGTACATTACAAGTGTCCAGGAAGTGTGGCAACAGTGTACATTACAAGTGTCCAGGAAGTGTGGCAACTGTGTACATTACAAGTGTCCAGGAAGTGTGGCAACTGTGTACATTACAAGTGTCCAGGAAGTGTGGCAACTGTGTACATTACAAGTGTCCAGGAAGTGTGGCAACTGTGTACATTACAAGTGTCCAGGAAGTGTGGCAACAGTGTACATTACAAGTGTCCAGGAAGTGTGGCAACTGTGTACATTACAAGTGTCCAGGAAGTGTGGCAACAGTGTACATCACAGGTGTTTAAGACTGACACCAGACATCAGACATATATGCTTTTTATGGCTTGAAGAAACAAATTTGAAAAAATCTTTAGCAATTGCTCCTGTTAATTCATTAAAGTACACCAACCGTTCCGCTGCGTGACTGTGTACTGTCCCATATAGCAGTGATAACGAAGTCACTGATAATATCAGTGTTGCTGATATCAATAGTAGTCAACTATTATTGTAAAATACTGAGCTACTTTGATTTCCCTTACTTTGATTTCTTTGATAGAACCACTTTGATTTCTTTGATAGAACCTGGGCTGATAAGACCTGTCTCAGGTGATAGTGTGTGTCAGGGAAACAGATAAGTGGCTTTTGTATTACTTGGTAATAAATGTTGCTTTATCATTTTTGTTATTTAGTTTACCTGGGAAGGTAAACCTTGCTACTGGCGATGACCCGCGGAATGCTGCTCCTTGTCTTCCCTCATAGATAACCCCAGCTATAATACCTTGAGGTGTTCCGAGGATCAACATCGCCGCGGCGCGGTCTCTGACCAGGTACCTGGGTTGCATGTTTGATCAGCCAGGCTGTTGGACGCGGCTGCTCACAGCCTGACATATGAAGTCTTGGTCTGGTTGATCAGGTATCCTTTGGAGGTGTTTATAGAGTTCTTTTTTCCCTCACTAGCTGCATTTGCAAAACATTCGAGAGAATGGTCCTAAACCGTCTCCTCCATGGACTAAGAACCATGCTATCCCCCCAGATATATGGCTTCATGCATGGAAGGAGTGTGCATCATTGCATCACCACCTTTCTTACCCTGCACACTGAAAAGTCATATATACCTAGATCTTAAGTCTGCCTTTGATATTGCAAATAGACATGTTATCTTGAGTGAGCTTGCAAGAATGAATGTTGGTGGTCGGCTTCTTTGTTGGATCAGAAGTTATCCAACAGGAAGTCATCTGTATTATTCCAGGGTCATAGAAGTGTAACAAGAGACTTTGAACTAGGCACCCCGCAGGGTGGTGTCCTCAGTCCTACACTATTTAATATCTTAATCTAAGAGATAATTTATAGTAGGTAATTTCTAGCAAAACTGAGAAATGTTAGCAGGTATATTGTAAGAAAATTTTACGAAGATTAGTACATTATAGTAAAATTTGAGGATTATCAACAGGTACATTGAAGCATAATTTGAGGATTATTTCTAGGTATAATGTAGTAAAATATGCGTTCAATATAACAACCCCCAGCCACTTTGACTGGACGGTAGAGCGACGGTCTCGCTTCATGCGGGTCGGTGTTCAATCCCCGACCGTCCAGGTGGTTGGGCACCATTCCTTTCCCTCGTCCGATCCCAAATCCTTATCCCGACCCCTTCCCAGTGCTATAAAGTCACAGGTGTGACTTTATAGTCAAGCTAAGTACCAAACCAAGTGCCAAGCCAAGTGCCAAGCCAAGTGCCAAGCCAAGTGCCAAGCCGAGCCAAGGCTTGGCACTTTCCCCTGATAATTAAAAATTCATTATAACAACCATGATATAAGATAAGTGATTACAATGGTGAAGTTGAATGGCTGAGATACATATATTGGGGGAGCGGGTAGCTCAAGATACAGTGAGAGTTTCAAGGACTAGGTAGGAAACCATGAGGATGAAATTCGGTACTTTTTGGTTTTATTTTTGAGTAAGACATAGGTTGGACAGCTTTCTCAATTCGTTAGGGAGTGCCATAGACCAGCTGGTGCCTATATTTACATAGAGTGTTTGCACATATTTAGTTTGACTCTGGGGATATCACAGAGATATTTAGTTCTGGTGTGGTGATTATAGGTTCTATTATATCCATCAAGGAAGAGTTTCAGATCAGGATTTTCATTCATGAACAGAGTTTCCTAAATGTAAATGGCCCCAGGAGAATGTGTGGAGTGAGTTTGTTTAGTATGTTTAGGGATTTAACAAGGGGGGGGGCTATCTTGAGGTTATCTTGAGATGATTTCGGGGCTTTAGTGTCCCTGCGGCCCGGTCCTCGACCAGGCCTCCACCCCCAGGAGGCAGCCCGTGACAGCTGACTAACACCCAGGTACCTATTTTACTGCTAGGTAACAGGGGCATAGGGTGAAAGAAACTTTGCCCATTGTTTCTCGCCGGCGCCTGAGATCGAACCCGGGACCACATGATCACAAGCCCAGAGTGCTGTCCGCTCGGCTCCTCCCTGGGCTGAGTGTTGCGTCGATAGAGTCTAAAAGCAGAGTTTGTTATTATTCTGATACCAGATTTTTGTTGGTGATGATGGGCTTGAGATGATTTGCAGACGTTGAGCCCCATGTAAAGATACCATATGTAAGACAGAGATAGATTAGCACGTAGTATAGTGAGAGGAGAGCAGAGTTTGGAACATAATAATTGATTTTGGTGAGTATACCAACTGTTTTAGAGACTTGGTTATGTGTTGTATGTGGGTGCTGAAGTTGAGTCTCTTGTCTAAAGTATAGGGCCAAGGAACTTTCCCTTTATTGCTGATGTTAACATTGTCTACATGAGGCTGAATTGCATTTGTTGATTTGCTTCCAGATACGATGTAGAAGGTCTTTTCTATGTTTAGTGCGAGTTTGTTGGTTGACATCCGTAAGTGGATTTTTTTCATTCGTTATTTACAACATTATTTAGTGTGTGTGTGTGTGGGTCTGAGTAGATGAGGGTGGTATTGTCAGCAAACAATATAGGTTTAAGAATGGTAGAGACAGTAGGCAGATCATTGATGTATACAGGAAATTGGAGGTCCTAGATTGCTGCCCTGTGATTATATTAGATTATATGTGATTATATGTTAGATTAAGCACCGTGAAATGTTATGCTATAAATTCTATATGCGGTAATGCTATATAAAGGTTATTATTAATAGCAGGTACATTGTAGCAATATTTGAGTTCAACTTAATAACTGCAATATAAATTGATGGTACTGATTACACTGGTGAAGGTGCATGTCTTAAGTACTAAAGTTGGGGAACAGATATCACGGATATTTCTGTATGGTGTGTGGTGGTGTTGGGTTGTATGGCATGTATGAAGGCAGTGTGTTCATTACAGGAACTGGAGGACATTGAGGAGCGACTGCGGGAGGAGAGCCATGAGCTGGTGGAGATGGTGTCGCGCCTTCAGGATGAAAACCGCAAGTTGTCGTCCTCCCTGGCCAAGACTGAGGGCACCCTCATCCACTCCAACGGTGAGTCAGGCTCCGCCTCCCTCTGCTCTTTCTGGTGTAACGTCTCCCATAACCGGCCACCGCCTCCTTCTGCTCTTCCTAGTGTAACGTCTCCCATAACCGGCCACCGCCTCCCTCTGCTCTTTCTGGTGTAACGTCTCCCATAACCGGCCACCGCCTCCTTCTGCTCTTCCTAGTGTAACGTCTCCCATAACCGGCCACCGCCTCCCTCTGCTCTTCCTAGTGTAACGTCTCCCATAACCGGCCACCGCCTCCTTCTGCTCTTCCTGGTGTAACGTCTCCCATAACCGGCCACCGCCTCCTTCTGCTCTTCCTGGTGTAACGTCTCCCATAACCGGCCACCGCCTCCTTCTGCTCTTCCTAGTGTAACGTCTCCCATAACCGGCCACCGCCTCCCTCTGCTCTTTCTGGTGTAACGTCTCCCATAACCGGCCACCGCCTCCCTCTGCTCTTCCTGGTGTAACGTCTCCCATAACCGGCCACCGCCTCCTTCTGCTCTTCCTAGTGTAACGTCTCCCATAACCGGCCACCGCCTCTCTCTGCTCTTCCTGGTGTAACGTCTCCCATAACCGGCCACCTAACAAATTATTGATCCACAAATGGAATTTAAAAATGAACATATCTTTTTGGAAACTGATGTGACATAGCACCAGGACATGTTTATCTATAAGATGACACAATAATCACGTCTGTAGATGTAACACTTACTGACATATAAATTGAAATGTGTATATATAATGGTCACTTGTTGGTTGTTTGAGCAGCTGTGCGGGAGTCTGAACTTTGCCATGCTGGTTAACTCGTTGGATCGAATCTGGCTTCGGTGGCTGTTCTGGTTCCTTCGGGGGACATCCCTTCCGCCACTCTTGCGATCGCTGGGTTCGGACCGAGGGGGCCTTACGTCAGCTGCTGTGTTACCGACTTCCCCTTCGAGTTTTTCGGGGTTCTGTGCCGTGGTGCCTACCCAAGCCCTCGCTCGATGTGTTCATGGATGTCTCGGCTCTCGGCTGGGGCTTTGTGACCAGCGCTCGCCAGGCTGGTCAGGGTCGGTAGAATCCGTCCTTCCATCGGGCTCACAGCACGGCATGAAAGTTCGCAGCAGTGTGGTGTTCGCTTCAGAGGGTTTGCGTCGCTCGTGGATCATGATCCGGCTCCATTCAGACTGCTCCCTTGTGGTTCATTGTTTGAATCACGGGGGTTCGATGCTGTCCTTGGCTCTTTGGGGCTGGTCACTTCGGGGGACTCATCTGTTGAGTTCTCAGGGTTTGGCTTTCCTGGCGGTTCATGTCTAGGGAGTGTTCATCGTACTGGCGGACAGGCTGTCCCATTTCATTCTTGTGTCCACAGAATGGACGGTCGACGCCGACTCGTTCCTTTGGCTCTGCTGGACTTAGACCTCTTCACATTGGCTTGGTCGAGGCATCTACTGGTATATGCGGAGCCCTTCCCCGACTGCGAGACCGTCGGGGTCAGTGCCTTTCGACTGGACTGGTCGAGGAGGAGGGTAACCTGTATTCCCCCCCCCCCCCTGTTCGGTTGTTGCTCAGTCTTGACTCGCTTGGAGACTTACCAGGGGAGAGTAGTCCTGTTGGCCTCTTGGTGGCCGGTCCAGCCTTGGTTTCTGGTGTTGCTTGCTTGGTATCCGAAACCGAGGGTGTTTCCGCGGTTCCGCCTCTTTCAGTAGATCGGTTCGGTCCGGCACGTGGCTGGTTCGATCTTCTCATCTGGTTCCTGGTAAGCATAGTTCCTGGGACTCCTGGGACTGATGACCCCAAACTAATATAGCACATATCAGTTCAGATAGCTTCAGGGAGCCTCCACTGCTCACCCAGAAAATGGAGTTTCATTACTCACTATGTTTTTTTTTTTATCAATTATCAGGTTGTGTTAAATGATAAGTAGTTAAAGTCTGAGGACTATATTAACATGTGATTGATGACCTCCAGGGGCTACGCCAGAGATAGACCTGAAGGTGGTGACGCGCCTTCAGGAGGTCATTGAGGCACAGAGGGAGCAGCTCCACAAGACTGAAAACGAATGTCATCTTAAGACCACGGAACTCGACAATGTTAGTCTTCATAAATGACAATGTTTACAATAATGTTGATAACTGAAGGAGGAAATGTTTTACAAGTAGTCTCATTTATAGTGTGTTTTTAGTTGATTTAAACATATGTTAATACAGTTAATTTACCTTTATCCGAATTTATCAGAAGGCCGCCGTATCTCCAATGGCCTTGACTGAGAAGGGAACTCTGCGGCTTACTGAATGTTCCTCCATTAATAGCCAAGACTGTCAGTTGTGGAGTGATAGCCAAGACTGTCAGTTATGGAGTGATAGCCAAGACTGTCAGTTATGGAGTGATAGCCAAGACTGTCAGTTATGGAGTGATAGCCAAGACTGCCAGTTATGGAGTGATAGCCAAGACTGTCAGTTGTGGAGTGATAGCCAAGACTGTCAGTTATGGAGTGATAGCCAAGACTGTCAGTTGTGGAGTGATAGCCAAGACTGTCAGTTATGGAGTGATAGCCAAGACTGTCAGTTGTGGAGTGATAGCCAAGACTGTCAGTTGTGGAGTGATAGCCAAGACTGTCAGTTATGGAGTGATAGCCAAGACTGTCAGTTATGGAGTGATAGCCAAGACTGTCAGTTATGGAGTGATAGCCAAGACTGTCAGTTATGGAGTGATAGCCAAGACTGTCAGTTATGGAGTGATAGCCAAGACTGTCAGTTATGGAGTGATAGCCAAGACTGTCAGTTATGGAGTGATAGCCAAGACTGTCAGTTATGGAGTGATAGCCAAGACTGTCAGTTATGGAGTGATAGCCAAGACTGTCAGTTATGGAGTGATAGCCAAGACTGTCAGTTATGGAGTGATAGCCAAGACTGTCAGTTATGGAGTGATAGCCAAGACTGTTAGTTATGGAGTGATAGCCTACACTATCAGTAATGGAGTGATAGCCAAGACTGTCAGTTGTGGAGTGATAGCTTAAAACCCTAGACAGTCAGTTATGGAGTGATAGCTAAAGCTGTCACTTATGGAGTGATAGCCAAGACTGTCTGTTATGGAGTGATAGCCAAGACTGTCAGTTATGGAGTGATACCAAGGCTGTCAGTTATACAGTGATAGCTAAAGCTGTCAGTTATGAAGTGATAGCCAAGGCTGTCTGTTATGGAGTGATAGCCAAGACTGTCAGTTATACAGTGATAGCCAAGGCTGTCAGTTATGAAGTGATAGCCAAGGCTGTCAGTTATAAAGTGATAGCCAAGGCTGTCAGTTATAAAGTGATAGCCAAGGCTGTCAGTTATGAAGTGATAGCCAAGGCTGTCAGTTATGAAGTGATAGCCAAGACTGTCAGTTGTGGAGTGATAGCCAAGACTGTCAGTTATGGAGTGATAGCCAAGACTGTCAGTTGTGGAGTGATAGCCAAGACTGTCAGTTGTGGAGTGATAGCCAAGGCTGTCAGTTATAAAGTGATAGCCAAGGCTGTCAGTTATGAAGTGATAGCCAAGGCTGTCAGTTATGAAGTGATAGCCAAGGCTGTCAGTTATAAAGTGATAGCCAAGGCTGTCAGTTATGAAGTGATAGCCAAGGCTGTCAGTTATGAAGTGATAGCCAAGGCTGTCAGTTATGAAGTGATAGCCAAGGCTGTCAGTTATGGAGTGATAGCCTAGATTGTCAGGTTATGGAGTGATAGCCGATACTGTCAGTTATGGAGTGATAGCCAAGACTGTCAGTTATGGAGTGATAGCCAAGACTGTCAGTTATGGAGGAGTGATAGCCAAGAATGCCAGTTATGGAGTGATAGCCAAGACTGTCAGTTATGGAGTGATAGCCAAGACTGTCAGTTATGGAGTGATAGCCAAGACTGTCAGTTATGGAGTGATAGCCAAGACTGTCAGTTATGGAGTGATAGCCAAGACTGTCAGTTATGGAGTGATAGCCAAGACTGTCAGTTATGGAGTGGTAGCCAAGACTGTCAGTTATGCTGTGATAGCCAAGACTGTCAGTTATGGAGTGATAGCCAAGACTGCCAGTTATGGAGTGATAGCCAAGACTGCCAGTTATGGAGTGATAGCCAAGGGGGCTGAGTGTTGTCTGAAAGCAGAATTTGTTATTCTGATAGCAGATTTTTGCTGGGTGATGATGGACTTGAGGTGGTTTGCAGTGGTTGAACCCCATGCACAGATACCATAATTAAGATAGGGATAGATTAGTGCATAATATAGAGATGAGAGCAGAGTTAGGTACATAATATCTGATTTTGATGAGTATACCAACTGTTTTAGAGACTTTCTTAGTTATGTGTTGAATGTGAGTACTGAAGTTGAGTCTCTTGTCTAGGAATAGGCCAAGAAACTTTCCATCATTTTATTGCTAATGTTTACATTGTCTATCTGAAGCTGAATTGCATTTGTAGATTTGCTTGCAAATAAAATGTAGTAGGTCTTTTCTATGTTAAGTGTTACAGTAGTTTGTTGGTTGACATCTATAAGTGAACTTTTTTTAGTTAATTTTTAACAACATTATTTAGTGTATGTGGGTTGGGGTTAGAGTAGATGAGGGTAGTATCATCAGCAAACAATATAGATTTCAGAATGTTAGAGACATTAGGCAGATCATTGATGTATATAAGAAATAGGAGAGGTCCCAAGATGCTGCCCTGTGACACTCCAACAGTTATTGGTAGAGTGGGAGAGGTTATATTATTGATGGCTACACATTGGTGTCTATCACTAAGATAGGATTGGATATAGTCCAGTGCATGGCCTGATAGCCAAGACTGTCAGTTATGGAGTGATAGCCAAGACTGTCAGTTGTGGAGTGGTAGCCAAGACTGCCAGATATGGAGTGATAGCCAAAACTGTCAGCTATGGAGTGATAGCAAAAACTGTCAGTTATTGTGTGATAGCCAAAAATGTCAGTTATGGAGTGATAGCCAAGACTGCTAGTTATGGAGTGATAGCCAAAACTGTCAGTTATGGAGTGATAGCCAAGACTGCTAGTTATGGAGTGGTAGCCAAGACTGCTAGTTATGGAGTGGTAGCCAAGACTGCTAGTTATGGAGTGGTAGCCAAGACTGCTAGTTATGGAGTGATAGCCAAGACTGTCAGTTATACAGTGATAGCTAAAGCTGTCGGCTAAGTAATAGCCAAGACTGTCAGTTATGGAGTAATAGCCAAGGCTGTCAGTTATGGAGTGATAGCCAAGACTGTCAGTTAGAGTGCCAAGACTGTCAGTAGCCAAGACTGCAGTTATGAAGTGATAGCCAAGGCTGTCAGTTATGAAGTGATAGCCAAGGCTGTCAGTTATGAAGTGATAGCCAAGGCTGTCAGTTATGAAGTGATAGCCAAGGCTGTCAGTTATAAAGTGATAGCCAAGGCTGTCAGTTATGAAGTGATAGCCAAGGCTGTCAGTTATGAAGTGATAGCCAAGGCTGTCAGTTATGAAGTGATAGCCAAGGCTGTCAGTTATGGAGTGATAGCCTAGATTGTCAGGTTATGGAATTATTACCAAAGGTTTCAGTGAGGTACACTATAAACAGACCAATTAGTTTTTTACTTTAATAAAACCTATATAAAGTAGCATACACAAACTGTAATATTCGCCCATTGTCTCAAACTTGCAGTTAAAGTCACAGCTAGAGAAGGTCAACCATGTAAATCGGGAGCTCCGGCGGCGGCAGAGGACCAACAATACACAGATGCGATCCTTGATTGACGAGAGGGCCGAGCTGCAGGCAGCCCTGCAGGAAGAGACCCGGACAGTGACGGTGCTCAGACAACGACTGGGTCTGGCACAGAAAGAAAATGAGGATCTTGCTTGTTCCAGTGTGAGTGTAAACACAGCCTTTATTCTTTTTACATTGAGGTATCTTTTTGTATTTTTTATGAATTTATCATTTGCAGAGAATGAGTCATAATAACATTACAAAGTGATTATGATGTGATCAGTTCTGGGTAGACCTTAACATTGTTGCTTTCATTTGATTTCTTATTTGTGGGTTGGGTTACACATTATTCATTTGTTTATTATGAACTGAATATGGTGTTCTGCTACTCCCAGAGAAAAGTTCCTTTGAGTGTTTAAACAGACACAATCAAGCGGGATGACATTTTGTTACCACAGTTATCACAATTTTTTTCAAACTTTTTCTGCTGTGTCATTCTAAGTGCTGTAGAGTTCCTTTCAGAGTATAATGGCGAGAAAGTGGGTCATTTCATAAAATCAAAGTCCACAGAAACCCACTGAGGTCATAAGTGACCAGTAAGGAAGCATTCCAGTAATCAACAATTGTCCTGCTTGATACCACAGCTGACCATAATGAGGTGGTGGCACCACTCATATTTGTAGGTCTTCACAGCCAGTCCCTCAAATATGATGCTTCTTGGGAGTTGCTTGCACAATGTGGCATGTCAACACTTCTTTGTGCACATATATGCATGGTGTCAGGGAGATGCTGTACTCCGCCTTAACAGATGGCTCACATTCCTACTTAGCTACATTCCTTGCACCAGTGTGTGGCCATTGTTATCAATCAAAGGGATAACCAGTGTGCCAGTAGGTTCCTCCATAATGGTGGCGGGCCTACATGGTGGGGTTGCCTTGAACTGTGATTTCTGACCAGGGAAAGGAAGACACCAACAGTATGGGGGCTTATTTATTACGTAGTAGAAGTACAAGTAGAATAATTTCTGCAGAAGTAAATCAGACGTCTAAAAGTAAGTCTTAACAATTGTATAACATAGCCGTGGCTAACTCAAAGTACACCGAATCAACTTAAATTGTACACCCGTAGTAAAATAAAAGTAATCTTATAGCCTAGTAACAAAATCTGCAGAAACCTAATGGCCTATTGTCTAGAATTAGAAGTAAGGTGAATGTAACATAAATCTAACTCTAAGTATAACAGTCAGGACACCATGAGTAAATATAAGTGAACAAAATAACATAATGGTAAACCCTAGCTGGAAATACAGAAATTAATCAGACGGCAGAAAATTACATAGAGACTGGAAAAGCCAGATATGAATTGGGAGAAGAAAATAACCCCAGGCCATAGGCCGTGCCGCCAAGGAATAAGGAGAAAGAATTTCCTGACTTAAGGTAGGGCTTACTAGTAGAATGGCTGTAAAGTCAAAGTAGTAGCTGCGGACAGCGGAACAGTTGGGGACCGCTTCTGCACCCCCACTCAGCAGGCTGGACCGCCCCCCCCAAAGGGCGAGTGCCCGCTGGTCGCGAGGGAAAACCTCAGGGTGGCAGAGCAACTTCGGCTACCCGACTAGGAAGTAAAACGTCACTCTTCCACCTGCTGACCGCAATTAGCGCCGTTCGGCAAGCCTGTCTAGAGATCGCTGAGGGCCCCACCAAGTCCAATGAGTGAGGGGCATAACCAGTTGGAGTCAAGCCTAGCTCTTCGAACCCCTAACCTGTGAGTGGCGACTGGTGTACAGATTCCTGAGCCTACTGGGCTCTATCATATCTACATTTGATACTGTGTATGGAGTCAGCCTCCACCACATCACTGCCTAATGCATTCCATCCGTTAACTACTCTGACACTGAAAAAGTTCCTTCTTACGTTCCTGTGGCTCATGTGGGTACTCAGTTTCCACCTGTGTCCCGTTGTTTGCGTCCCGCCAGTGTTGAATAGTTTTTCCTTGTTTATCCGGTCGATTCCCCTGAGGATTTTGTAGGTTGTGATTATGTCCCCTCTTACTCTTCTGTCTTCCAGTGTCGTAAGGTGCATTTCCCGCAGCCTTTCCTCATAACTCATGCCTCTTAGTTCTGGAACTTTTTTTTTTTGAGATATATACAAGAGTTGTTACATTCTTGTACAGCCACTAGTACGCGTAGCGTTTCGGGCAGGTCCCTGGAATATGATCCCCTGCCGCGAAGAATCGTTTTTTCATCCAAGTACACATTTTACTGTTGCGTTAAACAGAGGCTACAGCTAAGGAATTGCGCCCAGTAAATCCTCCCCTGCCAGGATACGAACCCATGACATAGCGCTCGCGGAACGCCAGGCGAGTGTCTTACCACTACACCACGGGGACTGTTCAAACATTGAGAGAAACGATTCTATACCCTCTGGAAGATCATTTACATATATCAGAAACAGTAATGATCCAAGGACTGACCCCTGCGGGACTCCACTTGTAACGTCTCACCAATCTGAGACCTCACCCCTCACACTGACTCGTTGTCTCCTGTTGCTTAGGTGCTCCTTTATCCAATGGCGTACCTTTCCTTTCACTCCAGCCTGCATCTCCAGCTTTTTCACTAGCCTCTTGTGTGGCACTGTATCAATGGCTTTCTGACAATCTAAAAATATGCAATCTGCCCACCCTTCTCTTTCTTGCCTTATTTTTGTTGCCTGGTCGTAAAATTCAAGTAACCCTGTGAGGCAGGACCTGCCATCCCTGAACCCATGTTGATGCTGTGTTACAAAGTTCTTTCGGTCCAGGTGCTCCACTAGCTTTCTTCGCACAATCTTCTCCATCAACTTGCATGGTATGCAGGTTAGGGACACTGGCCTGTAATTCAGTGCCTCCTGTCTATCCCCTTTCTTGTATATCGGGACTACGTTAGCTGCTTTCCAAATTTCTGGCAGTTCCCCTGTTGCCAGTGATTTGTTATACACTATGGAGAGTGGTAGGCACAGTTCTTCTGCTCCTTCCTTTAGTATTCAAGGGGAGATTCCATTTGGGCCTATAGCCTTTATCACATCCAACTCTAGTAAACACTTCCTTACTTCCCCGCTGGTAATCTCAAACTCTTCCAATGGTTCCTGGTTAGCTGTTCCCTCTCTTATCTCTGGGATTTCTCCTTGCTCTAAGGTGAAGACCTCCTAGAATTTCTTATTCAGTTCCTCACACACTTCCTTGTCGTTTGTAGTGAATCCTTCTGCCCCTATCCTTAATTTCATAACCTGTTCCTTTACTGTTTTTTTTTTCTCCTGATGTGGCTATGTAACAATTTAGGCTGAGTCTTTACCTTGCTTGCGATGTCATTTTCGTATTGTCTTTCTGCCTCCCTTCTCATCCTGACATATTCATTCCTGACATTCTGGTATCTTTCTCTGCTCTCCAGTGTCCTGTTATTCCTATAGTTTCTCCATGCCCTTTTACTTTGCTGCTTAGCTAGCCTACATATCTGATTAAACCATGGGTTTCTCATCTTCATTTCACTGTTTTCCTTTTGGGCTGGGACAAACTTGTTTGCTGCGTCCTTGCACTTTTGCGTGATGTAGTCCATCATATATTGGGCCGTCTTTTCCCTGAGCTCTGTTTCCCATGCTATATCTGTTAAAAATTTTCTTATCTCCTCATAGTTTCCCTTTCAGTATGCTAACCTTTTGGTTTCGGTATCCCTCCTTGAGTTCAATAACCCTTCTTCAATCAGGTACTCAAACACCAATACACTGTGGTCGCTCATTCCTACTGGGGCCCCAAAACTGATTTGTCTTATGTCAGAGTCGTACAGGGTGAAGACCAGGTCGAGTCTCATTGGTTCGTCATTTTCTCTCATCCTTGTGGGTTCTCTGACATGCTGGGTTAAAAAGTTTCTAGTCACCACCTCCAGTAGTTTGGCTCTCCATGTATCCTCGCCTCCATGCGGTTCCTTGTTCTCCAAGTCAATCCTTCCGTGATTGAAGTCCCCCATGATGAGCAGGTGAGATCTATTTCTGCAGGCAGCAGAGGCTGCCCTCTCAATTATAGTGTTAACTGCCATGTTGTTGTTTTCGTACTCTTGACTGTGAACCCTGTGAAGGTGTGAAGGTGTGGTGAACCCCGTGTATCCATGGGCCGTTTAAATCTTGCGTAGTACTCCAAAGCATCATATGATGCGAAGCGCAATTTACTGCAAGTCACTCAACGCATCATATGATGTCTAGCGCAACTAAAGGGTTAACCAAAGATAAAGGAAAAGAGGGACTTACCCAGGAGGTTGCTGCCACTCACTCCTCAACTTGAAGTCAAGACAACTGGCTGCAACCAAGACTACACACACCCAAGAAGGGTCAGGAACATGAACGAGGTATCATGCGGCCAGGACCCTGTTCGACCTCCAATAGCCCTGTGCCTGAATGTCGTGCCTGAACATATTACCAAAAACAGCAGTCAAAGCTGCGAACTTACAAATGTCGTGGACATGGGGATAGACCGCAGGCTGGCTGGACTGAATAATCCTATGGACGACCTGGGAGACCTGTGCCCTGGAACAGGGAAGAAGGAAATCCTGGGTCAACCCAAAGCGCATCCCCTGCCACGGAGGCCGTGGAGCACAAGTAATGGTGAAGAGCCGCAACCAGACACAAAACATGATGCACCCCCGGCCGAACCAACCAAACATCAACAAACCAAGAACCCCCCCGGAAAGCAGCATTCTCATTCTTTGCCAGAAAAGGAGATGGCTGCAAAGGAGCCATGCAACCGACCTCCAGGACCGAAAGAACAGAAACCTCTGTGCCAGAGAAAAGCATGAAGCTCCCTGACCTGACCCCCAGAAGTCAATGCCAACAAGAAAAGAGTCTTAGAAAAGCAGTCCTGAACTGAAATGGTCACCACAAATCGAGGAGAAGAGAGAAAAGAGAGCACCCAATCTAAAGACCAGGACGGTTTGGGCGGTGCATGAGCAGGCTCGAGGTAAAACAATGCCCGAGAAAGCTTGCGAAACGGAGCAGAAGTGACATCCACCCTAAACGCAAGCAGAAGCAGCTCTGCCAGCAGCACATGATATGAAACGACAGTATTCAACATAAGATGATGGTCCTGAAACAACCGAGAGAAAAAGGACAAAACAACCCGACCAGAAATGGAAAATAACCTACGAAGAGACAAAGTGCTGAAAGGACTGCCAGGAAACGTCATACTGTCGCTGAAACAAAACTCGCAGGTAGGACACCATCGACAAGGCCACCTGATCACTATACAAGTGGTGATAAATAGTAAAAAAAAACCTGACATGAAGAGCGGAAAAGGTCGAACCAGCCACGTACCAGACTGGACCGATCTGCTGAAAGAGGCAGAACCGCGGGAAGACCCTCAGGTTCGGACACCGAGCAAGCAGGGCCTGAAACCAGGGCTGGGCCGCCCACCAAGGGGCCAACAGGACTTCCCTCCCCTGGTAAGTCTCCAAGTGAGCCAGGACTAGGCATAACAATCGAACTGGTGGAAAGAAGTACAGGTAACCCCATCTCAATCAGTCCATTTGAAAGGCAATCGACCCCTACGGCCTCACGGAAGGGCGCAGCATATACCAGAATACACCTCGACCAACCTGACCCGAAGAGGTCCATGTCCGGGCACTCAAACCGTCAATAGTTTCAAAGCGTTATATGACAAAGAGTGCTGGGTAAACGGGACACCATGACACTTACTTACACTTACATCTCTCATCCTGTAACTACACTTAGGTAATTACAATTAGGTAATTACTTTATTTCAACAACACTGCCATGAACAGCACTGCTCAAAAGGATGGAGCCAGAGTTATTCGACCACCACCAAATACAACAGCCTTTGAACTGAGGTTTAGTAGCAGGCAAGGGAGATCTGGGACCCCTCATTCCCCCTCCTGGGGAGGAGGGAGTTGCGCAGACAGCGGCACAGCGGCTGTGGTGACTTCATGCTTGTTTGCTTGTTTTCCATTGGGGAGTTCTGCTTACTAGTTTGGTTTTCAGTTTGCATTTTTTAACCAGCTGTAGTTTGTTTTGCAATTTCTACCCTTTTGGGTGCCTGACCTGGTAGAAGGCAGACATAGACTGCTTCCAATTACATGGGGGTGTCTATAAACCATTGCTCCTCGTGCTTCTCTGTGGGGGCCAGGCTCTGGCGCTGGTCCCTGGTAAGCCTAGAACTCCATCGATTGACTGTTACTACGGTCTAATATATACACATTAGCCCGGTATAGTTCCGGGGAGCCAAAGGGGCTCTCTGCACAAAGAGTGATAAGAACTAAATGTAACCTCTTGCGATGGTATAAATCCACAATGAACATCATGGATTATGAGATACATAAAAGGGCATTAAATTCAGCTATGCAGGAAATCAGATTAGCCAAAAGAAACTACGAAATAAAACTTGCCCAAAACACAAAGGAACATCCAAAATCATTCTATGCATATATATGAAGTAAAGCCAAAATAAAGGAGGACCTCTAAAAGATGAGACTAACCAAGAGATTGGATGAAACACCTACCTACACTCTGTAGGACCTCTAAAAGATGAGACTAACCAAGAGATTGGATGAAAAAAGGGCAGCAAACACTTGGAATGAATACTATACATCAGTGTTTGCACTAGAAAGATTGAATGACATCCCATCACCCACAAAAATGTTTGATGGGAATGAATGCGCTAAATAGGAATGAATCTAACTGGGGAAATGGGCTAAGTGGGATGCCACAGGGGTCCATGCTGGGGCCAACCCTTTTTGTCATATACATCAATGACATAAATGAGAATATTAAAAACTACATCATGAAATTTGCTGATGACACTAAAATCTATGGTAAAGTGGGGAAGTGAAAGTGATATTGAGACATTACAAAGAGATCTACATGAACTCCACAAATAGTCCGATGACTGGTAAATGCTTCTTAATGTCGATAAGTGCAAGACCTTGCATGTGGGGCATAACAATCCACATCACAACTACCAAACAAACAGCACTACCTTACAACAGATAGATGAAGAAAAGGACTCTGGAGTCAGAATCCGTCATTCTTTAAACGGTCAGATGTAGCACAAACGAGGAGCAACGTGTTCAAGCTCAACAAGCAACAATAAAGGACATAAAACAGGAGATGCTTTTTCACCCATAAGGTTGTAGTCCTGTGGAACCGTCTACCTACTGAAGCCGTAAACGCCAAAACTATCCTGGGTTATAAAATACAGCTGGTAAAGATCATCAGGGCAAATGGTAGTACATTTGACAAGCCTCTGGCTTCCTGTCCTCATTAAGGCCACTAGTATTAGTGGCCCTCAGGTAAATTCAGGTAAATTGCTTAAGTGTAGTTATTTACGGAATGAGAGTTACTTTAATCTTTGTCATGTGGCATTTTGAAGCTTCCAGTAGTTTTGGAATGCAGTACACTCTCACTTCAACTATACAGTATTATCTATCACTTTGTTTACAAAAGAGTATTTATGTGCATTTTCTTGGACCCTATATTTTCTTAGTTTGAACCTATGTCCTCTTGTTCTTGATGCTGAGGATTAAATCAAACTATTCCTTATCAATTTGTGTAAAATCTTGTTGTAATTTTGTATATGATGATCATATAGCAACCCGTCCTCTTAAAAATAATGTCACTTTTGGCTCGTATGCGCACTATGGCCAAATTTGGACGTAATTTGAAATGAAATCGACTCACAAAAGTGACGTTCTGTTCTGTTTTCTGTTTGAGTCGTCCAGCCTACGCGCAGAGGTTATGAGAGGACACTTTAAATTCACGTTTTTCATAACGTTTTGAAACTTTATGAGAATTTCCTGCCAACCTAACCTATCAGAGGACCCTTAACTTACTGTTGTTGAAAAAAAAATCCCAAATTTATTTTCATTTTTTTTTTCATTTTCAAATTACGTCCAAATTCGGCCATACGGGCAAACGACCAAAAGTGACGTTCTTTTTAAGAGGACAGGTTGCATATAGCCCCTTCTTCTGTTCACAAATTTTGGCATATTTAACACCTACACCATCTCATATTTCTTGGGGTTTAGGTCCTGGAGCCATTTGGTAGCATGTCTTTGATCCTTTTCAAAATGTTGAAAATGCTTTTTGAGATCTGGATACTATACACCTACAGCATATACAGTACATGAAACCTAAATTAGAATTCAGTATGTACATATTAATTTAAATATTATGTGCTTGAAACATTTGTATTACAGGCTTCCACATTATGTGTAATGACACATGTGCATTTACAATTTTCTTGGGGTTAATATTTGTATCTGAGACAAAATTACACAAACCATGCAGCTTGTATATTACTGTATGTAGTAAATAATTTCACATCTCATGATGGCACTGTATTGCTGTGGGAGCAGGTGTATTTTTATGTTCAAAAGAACCCAAGAAGCAGTTTTCTATTATTTGGCAAGATAAAACAAACTTATTGCAACTTTTCAGAGTGACAGCTTGGACCTGACTAACAAGTTGGTGTTTGATCGTGATGATCCTAACCGACCCCGATTCACAATGACGGAGCTCAAGGAGATCCTCTACGAGCGCAACGAACTCAAAGCCCGTGTATCTGACCTGGAAGATGAACTGGAAATGTACAGGCCCAAGGATGAGCGACAGTACGTAGTGCGCGAAAGTCTTTTTCATTCTGCATGCAACGTGTGTGCCATAGTGACTCTGATTCAACTGACCCTGTTTGTTGCCCGGCTGATCCTTGCATGCCTGGCAGTGACCCATAGGCCATAAGTGTGCATATAGGATGGACCAGGATGAGTAGCACTTGCTCAGTGGGAAAACTCTAGCTGAAATTTTGTAGAATCATAGATTAGAACTGCTCCTAAGACTGCTGAAGGGAGTCAATCAATCAGAAGGGCCCACATAAACAATACGTTGACAAAGTTGCAAGAATTTAACATTCTCGTTCATTTCTATTATCCTATGAAGTTTTACCGTTATATCATAATGATGTTTTAACATGGTTCAGATACATATTGCGTGGTCTCGCATACCTTAGCTAGATGCACTAAATCTGAGGACCAAGCTTAGATGTTGAGAGGCAAATAGCGCATCTGATAATATTTCATTGTGCCACATTGTTACTTTAGGTTCTATACCAAGGATGTGATACAGCTTTACTGGCTGACTTTCATAGTGCCTTACTGTACAATTAATGGGAACTTCCTAAACTAAGTGCCAAGCATTATTGTTGTAATATGTGGATGCTATATTTTTATGTTTAAATGGTTTTATATACGCATATAATTGTATTTAAATTAACTTAACAAGATGCTAATACTAGTCTAAGTCAATATAGTTTAACAGTATTGACAACAACCGTCCGTTTTTACTCACATCAAATAATGGGTACGTGAGGCTGAGATTGGTACGAAGAGAGACAAGATGCACGTGCCTCTTGTTCCAAGTTGGGTTTGTGGAATTAAATTCCATAAATATCTTCATTTAGTTAAGACTACCACAATACTGGTTACATTTACTTTTAATGCTCAGGTATTTTCAGTCAAGTATTTCCTTGAAAGCTTGGAAATCTAAAGTTTGTTCTTTGTACTTTGCTATTGAAAATGCTTTCTGCAGAAATGATTTTGTAGTCTTAGTGAGCAGGCATTATGTCTGACAGATTTGACATATCACTGATATTCAGTTTAGCCATTACTTACTCTTTCAGTCCTTTTAAGTTCAAATTAAGAAGAGCTTTGCTCTTTGAACATTGTATATATTTAGGATTAGAGAGTGCAATACTTGGATTACTTTAAAGTTAGTACCGAGGATTAAGGTTTATCATAGTTGGAGCCTTTGAGCAGTTCCCCCTCGTCTACCATTCACTTCATGGCTCCTTCTAGCCATCACATTCTTCATAACAAATTTGTATAATTTGTTGACATTACAAGGAGTCTTCTCCAGTGGAGGCATAGTTTATATTTGTCTTTCTTGCTAGAGAGGTTGTACTCACTTCAGTCAATAACATTATTATTTAATAGTTTTTTATACAATCACATAGCAATTTTATTTTTACTCCTTATACAGTACTGTGTTAGATCCTTTTCTATGAACTGCAGGGATATTGGCTAGAGTACAATAATTTGAAGTTTTATTAATGCTGGTTTTATGTATTACAAAGTGCAATATATTTGAGTTTTTGTTAGCAATTCTGTACTGATAATTTAGTTTTTCACGATGCAGGTATGGACCCTAAGGGTTTACACTTAAGCATAAAGCATAAATGATGGCCTTATTAGGTGGTGAAGTTACGGTAGTTCATCCACCTTTTGTAGATATGAATCCATTCAGTGTAGGACTCTTAAATGGGCTAGATAATGCATGTATTGAATCTTGAAGATAAGTATTTAAAGTACAAAAAAGCAAGTAAGTTATAGAGGGGTCAGTTTGTTATTTGAAACTAAACACCATAAAAGGTTATGCCTTTCTTATAAACACTGTCTTGCCTGGTACGAGCTGTAACAAATCTTGACTTAAAATGGCTTGTCCTGAGCAACATATTGTCTTCCATAAATGGTTTTCCTAATGTTATGATTTTCCTTGCATCTAAATGCAGGAAAATAACCCTTGCCCCACATGTCGAAGCAGTTATCATAGGTTATAGAGTACGAGAAATGCACCACCATGATGGTTAAGGTGTTTATAGTCAAATAGATTCATATGGCCATGAAGATGTTGATCTTCATGGCCAAACATAAGATAATGAAAAAGATCATGGCCCAGCATAAGATAATGAAACGAGAATCATATTCAAGCTTTCTTATACAATACAATACAATTTTATTTAGGTAAGGTACATACATACAATAAATATTTACAAGGATTGTTTAACTTATAGGTATAGCTAGTACATACAATGCCTAAAGCCACTATTACGCAAAGCGTTTCGGGCATGAGACCCGAAATCTTGACCACTTAATCCACGATGACAGCCAAGCAATGCGCACAGTACCGTCTCAGCCTCACAACCGGCAGCTTATTGTTTTCTCTTGATAACAGTTTTAATTGTGAAATCCCTGTTCCATCCAGAGCTGACCTACCACATACTTTGTCACATTTTATGGCTCATTACATTGGGGATTGCTGATATTCATCGGCTTTATGCCATGTTCTAGAACTAGGTATGCTGTGTTTGGTCTGATCTTTAAATTAGTATTATTATGAAATTGCTGCATTTAATATATATTTAAAAATGTCTTACGAACTTAGAGAAAATTAAATAGATGTGACAATTCAATCAACAGACCCCAGACTTCATAATTAGACAGTTCTAAAAGATGGTTCACTGCCCCATGTAAGATCATTTTGGGTGTAATTCAAGTTTGATTGAAGAAATTGTTTATTCCACAAATTGAAGGAAAGTTAAGTTTTCTTTGCTTCCATTCTGAGGACCAATTCATCATAACATGAATAAAAAAGTAACAGTTTTCCAAATCAGACTTGAATGAGGTAGCAGCTGGGACGGAGTAGAGTCATTGTAGTTTTAAATGTAGTCAAGACCTTGTAGACTTGAGTGGTATCTTGTGTTCTTTACATTTACCTAATAATTATCCTTTCTTATGAACTTGTTTTAAGTATTTTTGATTGGCTAGAGAAAGTAGTGTGCACTTCATTAGCTATAGTATTGTTTCAAGGTCAAACTTGCTATGGGAGATGATTCTGCATAAGATTGGTACTCTGATGCAAGCTCAAAATATTAATTGCAGCAACTGACAGTTAATGGTAAGATACTTCTAATGCACAATGAAAATCACAATAGTGTGGTCAATCTATGAATAAATATTGATGCTGTACAATAGAATCCAACCCTCACCGCAGATCGCCTCAGTGGATAGTGCGTGGACTTGAGGTGATCAGGGGCACTGATTTGATTCTGTCACCCAGCCTTAATATTTATTCAGGCTTCTAATTTTACCACTGTTTATCAAGGTCTTGAATTTTTGTATTATTAAATATTTTTATTTTTTATTTTTAAATTAAACATTATATTAAGATTGTCTCAAGAACCACTTATGGTTGTGTACCTGGATGTGAACAAAATGACAATAATTGCCATATTGTCTGTGTGATATAATACAAAGCATGAATTTTAACTGTCGTGTAGTTTGTTTCCCTCCTGTCCTGTGCATCACCCACTTTGTTAGTGCTCTACATTTGTTACATTTAGGTAGAACCTGCAAGATCCCTCTGAAGAATAATACTAGATTATTCATTGCACATGTAATGGCATTCTTCCTGTTCCTGTTTTATATAATGTTATAAGACTTCCAACCGATATTTCAAGCGCAAAAATACATTTTAAGTGTATTTTGGAAGTTGAGCATTATGCATGTCATTGGACAATATGAAGGAACTTTAATGTATTACAAAATATGTTGCATAAATGATTGAATTTCCATTAATATTTGCCGGAGCTAAAGTAAGCTTATTTGTGATATACCACTCGGTTACTCCCTTAGACGAGGTTGTGCTGCTTCTGTGACTGAGCTGCTTGGTGAGAGCAGGTCAACATTTACCACTGTCACAATGCACATCTTTTGAACCCTCCCTGTTAAGTCTTACTAGTACCAGGGAGACACTGGAGTATACTCAGTCCTGGCCAGAATGACCTTGAGAAGGTTCATTTAACTACACTCAATCCCTTGACCTGCAGTACTTGGCATCAGAGAAACGATCAAAAATCACTCGGCTAGTTGATCTGCCCAGCCACTACCCCCCAGGCATCCATGTGTCAGCATGTACATGTCCCCCAAAATAACTTGACTATCACACACATTTCTCTTGACCGTTCCTATTAGCACTTTAGGCTGTTGGATACCAAAACTATTCAATTAAGTTATTTGTTCTATCCCGAGAAATTATATTTCATTAGCACGTCTTGCATGTATTCATACAGTACAGTGGCATTGCATTTTCTTGTTTCTATAACCAGTATGTTTTACAGAGCCATCATCTGTGCTGGTTTGGGTAGTGCTTCAGCAGTGGTTATTCTACTCTTAAAGTTTTCAACTTCTTTCATGGGGTGTTGGGACTTCGTCCTCGAACATAGGTGTTCTAGGATACACACACTAAGAGTACAGTACGTTTAAGGGCTGTGTTATCAATGTGTGATTATGTTATCCATTCCATTTATCTCAGGTCACATTTGTCTATATTATTCATAGTCACTTTTTTTTTGTTTTTTTTATGGGCTACCTTTGTCCATTCTTGCCTTTGAAGAAATATGTTTAGATTAAAATACACCCAAAGTGCATGTCTTATCAACTAGGTCTCTTCTGCATACTAAAGTCTGAAATGGTGGTCCTGGGATCTAATATAGGCCTCTTTATTTTTTCAGTATTAAGTTTTTGCTTGCCAAGAGCTCTTCATTTGCAGTCCCTTACAATACTTGTATTAAAGAGAGATTTTTTCAAGAGGAGAAAGATCCTTTACCTTTAGAGAAATAATGCCAACATCCCATGTCCAACTTTTTAGACGACAAACATGTCCTTGATTTGCCAATTTCTTGAAAGAAATTAGCTATAACTTCTCTGTTGCATTTTGCTGGATAGGGAAATGCTTACTGGCATGTTCCAATCCATCTGAGATACAGGGGTTGGCTGAT